CAACAAAGATGTGATAGAGCTCTATGAAAGGAGGAAGAAAGCTTTAGAAAGCATGAAATGTATCGTGAGCTGGGAGGAACCCATACCTCAAGGAGATCTCGGTAAATTCAAAGTAAATATATCTGATTTCTGCCTTTATCACTCTATCTCATCGACTCTCACTAGTTTTGAGGTTTTATCTTCGCTCAAACATCGACAGTTAACACGAATTTGGACGGCTTAAAGACACTCGTCAATGAGGAGGCGATACCTCCCGACTGCTGCAAGCAAAGACGACCCCGGATGTGGGGTGAAATTCGGATGATCGTCGAAGATGCATATTTTTGGGACCAAGAGGATCTCCAGGTACTGATAGAACCGCGAGACGAGAGGTAAGAATATTTATTTGTTCAAGGATAACATATAACCAAGCTTCACAGCGCTAGTAGAAGAATCCATTTTCATACAATATCCACTAACGAGGTGCATCCAAAGGCAGCCCTACCGTGTATAGATATCCACCAAGCCGACTGCTCAATCTGGGAGCACTGCTATATGGTTGCTTACGAAGATAGGGTCGCATTAGTATTCGGAAAAGAGAGACCACGCAATGGTGCGGCACTTGTCTGTGGCTCTATGGAATCCAAAATTCTCATGGTGCGCAGTCCTGAAGTGGATCATCTCTATTTTGACTTATAGAATCTCGTAGCCGTATATGCTCGTGTCCGATATCGCATTCTTATCAAGAGATGAAGCCCTGCTATTCTTTAATGGACAAGGGAATCATGGGGTATCCATTGCCATCTATTCGTTCCAGCTACAACAAATCACCTGTGAATGTCAACTCCCTTTCTCAAAGCTTCCAACTTCGGTACTGTTCTTGCATCGACCAAATTCGCATTTTGTGGCTGATTGTCCATCATCCATCACGACAAGCCTTTTACCCGACCCGGAAGTAGATATCATCGCAATGGTTTTTAGACTCGAGGATAGTGTATTGTACTCTTCGTGCTGTGTCCTCTCCGTACGATTATTCCGCCAAATATGCGACTCGTTGTTGCAGAAGATTCTGGATCGAAAGGTGTTCAGATGGAAGGAATGGGGACCTAGGGTCACTCGATGGCTCCCTTATCAAGGTTTAGAACCAGCAGGGAATCAAAATAGCTTTGGGTCCAGAATGATTGCACGGGGTTGGCCCATGGATTTGCATAGCGAGTCCTACCGTGACCAATGTCTGCTTCTTCTAGACTTCAATCCAAGGCCGATCAAACTCGGTGCGACCACCTGCCTTACCAAGGAGACTCATGTGATTGTCGTTAATAAAGAGACGACATGGAAGCATCCATATGATGGAACAATGATCACCTCTAGTCTACCTTACCGGGCGTTCACTAGACTTTGGTATCCTTGCGCATGGTTTCGGTTTGATGGTAGTACGCTTATCAATGGGGGAGTGAGTCCTTTATCTCAATACAATATCATTCAACCATACGACCTGACATGTTTCGCGTCTCAGAGATCGGCCTATCATTGTTACTCATTCCTTCCATTGGTCCCAAATGCGGAAAAAGGAAGAACAGAGCTCCTTGAGTGGTTTGTCAGTTCTACCTATATGCGGCCGACATTAAGCCAGAAATGGGGAAAGAAGGGTTCAAAAATCAAGAATGGCGTCGTCTGAAATGTATAATAGCATACATTCAATGCGAATACATGATTTGATATTTTAACATATACTTTTCATCGATCTTAGAGTATCTCCAGTCGACAATTAGTTCGTGCCTCGGTTCAGCACTCCGATATAATGTTTGTGACCCTTCCACAACCATGGATCGACGGTCAAAGAACAAGCGAAGCTCAGCCATAGATATCAAAATGCTGGTTGGGTCGTTCAAGAGACTCAAAATGAAATCTAAACGCTCAAAGAAGCAAGCGCCTATCGTCGACGATCCGGTCATAGAAACTCGCCTCGAAGCCTCAACTGCCGCAACGAGCGTTACTGGACATCAGGAAATAGATTGGACTGAGGCATTGCTTGACTTGCCGAACGAGCTTTTGGAGGATATATGCCTTTATCTTCATCCGTTAGATGTTGTAAAATGGCGTCAAGTGAGTCATTGATTCCCGCGCGCTCGGAGTGTGATTTTCACATCCTAAATATGATTATTTACTTACAAGCTATTCGTTAATAGCTATGTAGTCGCTTTAAGCAGCTCATTGACAATTCAATCGAACTTCAGCTTCGTATCGACCTGGCGATTGACGGCTATTTACTCGCACATAGAGGTACAGAACCTGCAAAAGATGTGATAGAGTTCCATCAAAAGAGAAGGAAGGCCTTGGAGTCTATGCAATTTTTCACGAGTTGGGAAGAGCCTATCGCTGTGGGGGATATGGGTAACTTTGAAGTAAGTCACGCAAAACTATCCTAATATTCTTCTATCTCATCTAACTCGATTAGGTCTGTGATGGTATCTTTGCCCAGACATTGACTAGTGACACAAATAGGGAGAACTTCAGGGCGCTCGTTTATAAAGAGGTGATACCTCCACAATCTCGCAAGAAGAGATGGGTTCGCACGTGGGAGGACTTGGGCATAGGCATCACAGACTTTTCTTTCTGGGCGCAAGGGGATTTCCAGATGCTGATGGAACCACGCGATGAGAAGTGAGCAATTTTTCTACATTCATATAGAATTACATATCTAAATAAACGTTATAGTACGAGTAGAAGAATTCATTTCCGTACAATGTCCACCAACGAGGTGCATCCACGGACAGCCTTGCCCCATATCGACATCTATCAATCCGACTGCCCAGTTTGGGACCACTGTTATACAGTCGCATACGAAGATAGGGTCGCGTTCGCATTCTGGCAGGGATCACCACGTACTGGTGGCGCCCTTGTTCTAGACTGCATGGAATCGAAAATTATCATGGTGCGTGTTATCATCACAAATCGACTTCTGTATTGATTTAGGTGATATTGTAGCCGTATATGCTAGCGGCCGACGTCGCATTCCTGTCGAGAGATGAAGCTTTACTACTCTTTAATGGAGAGGGAGACCATGGGATATCTATCGCAATATACTCATTCCAGCTTCAGCAAATCACCTGTGAATGCCAATTTCCTTTCTCAGAGTCTTCGTCCCTCGCACTGTTCTTAACTCGACCGGACTCACGCTTTGGGGACGACTGTCCATCTTCCATCGCGAAAAGTCTATTACCTGACTCAGAGACAAACATCCTCGCACTGACCATCCAATTAGAGAGCCATGGACGCCCCGCATGCTGTGTTCTGTCCGTACAAATGCTCCGTCAAATGTGCAATTCGCTGTTGGGGAAGAATCCAGATCGAAATGTTTTCAGATGGGAAGAATGGGGACCTACAGTCACCCGATGGCTTCCTTATCAAGTTATAAATGCAACAGGAAATCGAAATATCTTTGGATCCAGAATGATTGCATGGGGGAATCCGGGGTATCTCCACGAAGACTCCTATGACGAAACATGCTTGATACTCTTGGACTTCAATCCAAGGCCAATCAAACGGGGTGCAACTACGCGTCTCGAGGATTACCATGAGATAGTCATTGATAAGGAGACGACGTGGAAGAACCCACAGGACGGAACGCTGATCGCTTCAAGTCTACCCTATCGGGCGTTTACTAGACGCTGGTTTCCTCGCTGCTCATATTTTCGCTTTGACGGTGGCACCATTATAGGCAAAGGAGTAAGCGCTTTCTTTCGATGCCATTACATGGTTTCATTCCTAACGTTTCCTCAATCCCAGTGGGACAAATACCATTTCTACTCTTTCTTGCCATTAGAATCAAGCGAGGAACAGGAAAAAGAAGAATCGGGAATTGGGAAGGATGTTGCCTAGGCCAGTGATTGTATACCCTCAATATAGAGACATGATCTAGTTAAGAATCGGGGATTTGTATTTATTTGTCCACGTTATAAAACTGTACTCTCTTTGAGGCGTGCGTCTATTAGTACTGAACCTGAGCTTTTGTTTGTATTTGTTATCACGATAACCTGTTTCCTCCCATTCGACCGTCCG